ACTGGATGAGAAGAGGAAAGAACAAAGGATGCGATCTTAGAAAACAAAAGCAAGTAAAAGGGAAGAAATAAAAATTCAATAAAGAAATCAAGACTAGCAGTCAGAGAACATCTCCTAGTAAACAAAGTGATATGAAGCAGCACAAAGACCAGCAAGTCTGAGATACAAAGCTAACACTTAAACATAAACAACACTAACGATTCTCAAATGCAAACAATGCAGTCTACAATACGGATGAAACATCTTTTGAATTTTTATGCTATTAGATGCCACTAAATCAACTATGACTAAGACTCGCCTTAAATAAAAATATATAAATATCTGAAGAATTTGTAACTTTAATAATCAAACTTAGTTCAAGTTAAAAGTATTCCAGAGCCAATTAAATACTTTGCCAGATAACAAAAACAAAAGGCAAAGATCAATAAACATGTAGACATTTAGCAGCAAATGGATGGAGTCCCCAAAATGAATTCGTAGTTTAGTTATTTGCGTCTATGTTCTCAATATAGATTGATAGACCTCATTTAACCCAGACCACAAACAGTTGTTGTGTACTGTCAAGTTAGGACTGACCCATAGCTGACCCTCCAGTGAGTTTTCAGAGGTAGTTGATCACACGGGAGGAGATTGTCCATCTTCTCCTGTGGAGCAGCTGGTGGATTCAATTTGTCTCTTACGTTGCCAGTACAACTCCTTAACAGCATAATAACTCCCTATAATAAAAACAGATTTACTTATACACCCCAACCTTAATTATGGGGAATTATATTACCATAACAGAAAACAACAAACTGATAAAGTGCTCAGAAAGTGGCTACTTCCCATTTTTCTAAAGAAAACTTTGAGTAGAACCACTACCCAGACAAGGCAAGTCCCAGTGAAGGAACTGAGAAGAACCCGCAAGGAAGATTGAGTAAGTAACCACCAAGTACCAAGTAGAGCTTGGCTTCACAGTGGTTAGAACAATAGGCTGTTAACCAAGTTTTTAATCCAACAGTCCAACTGGAAAAGCATGACGGTCTATGTCCAAAAAGAATACAGCTCCAGGAATACTATGGAGCAGTTCTATGGGGTCTCCATGAGTCAAAGCTAACTTGATAGCAGTGTGTTTACTTTTGTTTTGGATCTGCCAAGTAGAGTCCCCGAATAATGCAAACAGTTACTACACTCAACAACCAAAAGGGTAGAGGTTCAAGTGTATCGAGAGGTGCTTCAGAAGCTCTGTTGTTGTTTTGTACCCAAGAGTCAGAATCGACCCACAACTGACTCTCCAACGGGTTTTCAGAGACAGTCAGTCAGTTTGGAAGAGACTGCCTATCCTTCTCCCGTGGAGCAGCCAGAGGCCTTGAACTGTGTGCATCCAGGATTGCAGAGCAGCTTCTTGCCACTA